ACTGATTTTCAGCACCTAAGAGAAATAAGAAAAGCGCACAAATGAAAAAATTATTACAATCAGCCATTATTCTACCGGAACTCAATCATAACCGTAGTTAGTTCGTATTTGGAATTTTCAGTCCCCTGAGACGAAAACTATACTTATTTACTTGTTAATCAACGACATCATTCGTTGTTCCACTAAGCAGTCATCATACTTATACAAAGCATATTTATAAGCCCTTGTACATTTTGTAGTATCGCGGCGTTAGTTGTAAAAATTAATCAGAATGGATTGCTTGTTTCGGATCTTATTGGCAATCACAACTATATTTGTGATTGTCAATAACATGGGAAACTTGAAAAAAAGTATCTGCCTGGCCATTGTTTGCAGAGTCTTCGCCCAAGAAAAATGAGGAATCTTCCTCACAGCCAGAAGTGAAGCGTTGAAAAGGCAGTGAAACTTCAAAAATTTGCAAGCGTTGGCACGCCGCTTTTTGTCTCCAACTCACAATGCCATTCCCTCCCCACCCTCCACACTATCCGCGCTAACCTGGTCAATCTTTACTATGAAACAGGCAAACAGACTGTGCACAGTTATCAAATTTCGCAACGAAAAGGATCTGTTAGGAAATGGTAGGAAAGGGGAAGGAGGATGCTAGTCATATTGCTACGCAATATACTTGTAGCTGCGATAACCTTATCAAACTCTTTTTCTCATCTTACGCTATCATCTAAGTAACAAGTTATGTTACGCAGGCAAACTAACCCTCTTCATTTTCAAACGTGAAATCAGTTTTCTATCAATAATTCTCCACTTTGGAAGCTAATCATCTTCCATTTTCATTTCACGTCAAATTATTTCACCTACATGTTTGACATTGGCTAAGTAATATCAGAAATTGAGCACGACTCATGTTCCTAACTTTTACGAAATCCTGGTAAAATTTCCACCAGAAATGACATCTTTCCATCTCAGCTACATCTTCTCTGTGATTATTACAAATGACTCATAATAAGCTTAAGTAGGGTTAACGTCAATATAGCCTTAATTACATAGGTCGGAAGGCCAAATATTTGTATGTAGGCCAAGAGTTGACTTCTCTGACAGAAGTAGTCCTGGGGATTAGACCTGTCTCATAGATTTTTCAAAAGGAAGCATATCCAAGAAGTCCTTCCTTAATTGGTGACCGAATAGACATGATGCAGAGGCAATTGGTCAGCCACCGTTAAAAATGGCCGTGTTCGCGCGTTACCCGCAATTTCAGAAAACCGCCTACTTGGAAAGTCAGTAATTTTTGCGCATTGTTGTACTCTGGAAGCTTTTTAAGGCAGAAACGGTAATAATAGTCAAATGCGGGGAAGCATCATGGTGGGACGGATTTCAAGCTGTCGCAAAAACGGAAAAGTCTGTATAGGAGTTGTCTTGTTAAGTAAAGAGGGTGAGGGTAGAAATTTGCATGTAACATTACGAAGTTTCTTACCGTTTGACTTCAACCAAATAGGATCTGTAGATTAGAGATTGTATCCACATCCAAAACATATTCATTTTTTCCATAACTCCTGCTTTATTTCCTTGCTTCATGAGCAGTTAAGGACTTTGTCATATCTTGATTGAGATTGAAATGCTCATGATAGGCTCATTTAGGAAATGCCAGAGTTTACAATAGGACCG